TATTTTGAGATAGTAAATATGTTTTAGATATTTAAATATCACTACAAAAAATGTTATATTCCAACAAAAATTTCAACGAATATTGCAATACAACATCCGTTGGAAGGGTTTAGATAAAATTTGTTGATTCCAACGGTCTTTTACCGTAAGAATTTCCGTTGGAATATACAATTTTTGTTGAAATTTTTATTTCCACCACTTAGAAAATATACTATTGGAATCGTCAAAATTCAACGGAAATTCTAACAGAAAACTCATTCTATCGCAATATTTTTGTTGGAATTTCCGTTAAAATTAATTAAAAAATTTCAACGAAAATAATAGCATTGAAATATTCATTGGACTCAAAATTCTATTAGAATATATCCGCGTTGGAATTTTCCATTAGAAATTGATCATTTTGTTGTACTGTATACTTCCAAACTTTAATATTGTTTTGAATGTACACCCAAAATTTTAATAAATGTTTTTTTTTTCAATACAAACAAAACTATGGTCATAAAATACTTATCATAAGAGAAAAATATAGATAAATTAATGAACAATATCATCAATTGATTTTCGTATGTTAAACTTAAATATTTCCAATCTTAACAAAAACTCCAACACACAACTTACAAGAGATGGAACATACATATAAATCGATTATTATTATTATATTATATTTTATTTAAATAAAGCATAAAAAATATATTTAAATATATTAACAACATTTTTATATTATACTTAATAAAAGTGACACTTTTGTTTAGAAAATTCTACGGTCTCATTACGCAACCATTCTATCAGAATTCTTAACCATTAAATCAATTATCCCAACAATTACATGATGATCTAATGACTACGGAACATACCCAACGGAATAGTTACGTCTAATCTCCCTTTTGTTAATTACACGATTACGTAAGAGAGCCGAAACCACTCTCTATAATTAATTATATTCCTCGTATTGAGAAAGGATAGAACTGTAATTTAAGTCCATAAGTTCCAGCCCAGCAAGTAACTGAGCGTTGTTATAAGCCCCCATCAAGCAATCAAGTTCTTCCCCCCCTTCCCACTACCACTACCAGAAGAATCTCTCCCTCTCTCTCTCTCTCTCTCTCTCTCTCTCTCTCAAATTCGTCATCCCCCTTTCTCTCTCCTCTGCTGAGAGTAATGGGTCTGAGCCCTCGTTACTCTTACACCTCCCACAGCAACATTATGCAGCTCACCACCACTTTTTTCCGTCACAAACCTTGAGATTCATTCTCTTTATTTTCTCTCTCCTCTCTCTTATCCACACTGATTCTTAACCCCCCCTTGAAAAAAAAAAAAGTGATTATCTACTCAAGTTTCTTAGTAAAAGATTCAATCTTTTTCAGCAAATTCGAAAAAAAAATGTTCATGGAGGTTTACAATGATTCTCCCATGGCGACTGTTCAGTTAAAGAGTGAAAAGATTCGTTCTGAGATTCTTGATTCTGCTCTGTGGGCGGCTCCAAATTCTTCCTCTTTTCATGGTACTCTATTTTCACTTGCACAAATTTTTGTTCAGATTCGTTTTTTCTTGTGGGTTTTGACTGTACTTGTTTTGTTGTTCTTTTCCTAGTAAATGAACAGTAATATGATGCACATATTCTTTATGATGCCTCAATCTTTGTCAGTTGTGGAAAAAAAAAAGGGGAAACTTGTTGTGAGGTAGCTGTTGATTTTAGAATATACAAAGTGTTGGTTACTGTTCAACATCTCAGTATCCAATGATGGTATTAACTTTTTGGCAATTGATGTTGAACTCGTTGGTGTTGAAACTTGAAAATATGTATACCCTTACAAGGTTAAGCATATTGCAATGGCTGAAGAAGTAATGAACTAAACTAAACGAAACCCATCTGGATTAATCGAATGCGAAAATGACTTTAAAAGGTACTTCTGTGCCAGCCTCTGCATCCATGGTGAACTTTGAAGACGAAAACAACGACGATTGCTATCACCCGACGGGGAGGAAAAGGCGGCTCACTACAGATCAAGTCCATATGCTCGAGCAAAGCTTCGAGCTGGAAAATAAGCTCGAGCCCGAGAGGAAAATCCAGCTGGCCAAGGAACTTGGTTTGCAGCCAAGACAGGTTGCGATTTGGTTTCAGAACAGAAGGGCGAGGTGCAAAACCAAGGTTCTCGAGAAAGAATACGATAAGCTTAAAGCTAGCTATGATGAGCTCAAGGTAGATTACGACAACCTTTGCAAAGAGAACGACAACTTGAAAAATGAGGTAGTTTATGATGTTCTGTATTCCTCTCCAAGAAAGAAATTATGAGTTACATTGTGGGTTGAATTTAGTTTGGATAGTATATGGTTACATTCTTGTTATTATATGGAAAAATGACCATGAAAAAACTCGCTGATGCAGTCCCCAACACCCCAGAAATTTTATACTTTCATTTTCTTTAGTGACTATCTACAGTTACAGTTGATCTAGCTTGCTGGGATGTATACGAAAACATTTTGGTGTGGACAATTGTTCTGATAAATAGGTGACAACCGGAACTTTTGAACTGAAATTTATGAAATTGCAATTGTTCTTGGCAATTTTTATGAGGTTTCCAATGGAAAAAAACTGAATCATGGAGTTTTTCAAAGATCTAGGAGGATAAAAAAAATTGCAATTATCCAGAAATAACATTATCCGCACATCATTTTACTTATTCTTGATTTGTTTGGCTGCCCATACAGGTGGACTCGCTGACTGAGAAATTGCTCACAAGAGAGAACAAACGGGCCAAGCCCGAACCAACCGGTCACAACATTAGTCCAACAGATTCAGCATCAAAGCAACTGATTTTCTCTCCAAATGCTGTCACAAATTCCGGATTGGCCGTGGTCTGCAAACAAGAGGATGCCTCGAGCTCTGGTGTGTTCGACTCGGAAAGCACAAACTGCCATCATTCACTGGCGCCATTAGAGCCTGCTAACTCGTCCAATTTTTTCGGGCCAGAGGCTTCCGAGTTCTCTCAAGAAGACGATGACGAGAGCCTGAGCAGGAACTTGTTGGTAACATCAGTTTTCCCAAAGATCGAGGATGAATTTTACGATGATTTGCAGCCGAATTCGTGCAATCTGGGGTTTCCTGTTCAGGATCAGGGGACATGGTTATGGCAGTATTGAGTTTCCATGGTTCAGTTGTTAAATGGTTGGGATTTTGTTTGGTATGGGACTGATGTTGTTTTTGTGTACTACTTTTGCCAGGATCTTGTGTTAATATAGATAAGGAGGTTTGGCTAATAATATGAAGGTTTATTAGTAGGTTTTTCTCTTGCAATAAATTAATAATACCCTACGATGGATTGATTTTGATTTTTTTCAAACTATAATTTTTTAAAACTCCTTGAATGGTTTTGTGGAAAAAATTATAAACTAGCTTGATGGTGTTCACTCGCGGTGGTAATCATACTTGCAGATGGTGTGATTATCAACGGTGGGATAAATAATGGATTTCAAATTACTAGGCTTGAGCAGTCCAAGGGTCTGACTTCCCCAGTGATCTCTTCGCTTGTTGAACTAAAGATCAATTGTTTGGGCACTAAAGTATGCTACAATCTCTAAGACTTGAACTCTCTAGTAGAGTCAACAAAGTGTATCAGTTAATGCAATTACCATTGAACACACACTCAAAGGCTGTCAAGAGAATATTGAGGTATCTAGCAGGGACTCTCAACTATGGAATGCATTTTCATACTCCAAAGATCCTACAAATTACGACTTATGCAGATGTTGGTTGGGGCTTTGACATTGATGACAAAGGATCTAAGATGACAAAGGATCTACAAGTGGCTTTTGCACTTTCTTGGGGCCAAATCTAGTTTTCTTGGAGCTCTAAGAAACAGAAGATTGTATCTCGATCAAGCAATGATGTTGAGTATAAGTCGTTAGCTCATGCTACATGGGATGTGGTTTGGCTACAGACATTGCTAAGTGAACTATAGATATCACCTACAAAACCAGTTGTCATATGGATGGACAACCAATGTGCTATTTCTCTTGCTAGGAGTCTTGTCTTCCATTGTAGGACCAAGCACTTGAGATTGATCTAAACTTCATAGGGAAAAAGGCTACTCAAGGTATCTCACTTAGACATATTTCTGCCCTTGATCAAGTTGATTTGTTCACCAAACCATTTACTGCCAGCTCTTCACAAGATTCAAAAACAAACTTTTATTACTTTGAAGAGCCTTGCTCAATCC